GAGATCCAAACAACCCGATCTGGATTAATTATCAGACAGTGCAGGGCGGAGGTGACAGCCAGAGCTTGAGGACTGAGCACTCCCTGGAAAAGCATCATCAGCATTTGCACTGCCAGCGTCAGCCGGCACCAGGGCCATCCGATGACAGCCAAGGAGCCATGGAGGGCACGTTCTAGTGACAGGAAACAAACACAGGGAAGGTTTTCAAGCCACACAGCTACTCAGAGCCTGACATTCGATTTATTTATAGATAAAAATTGGAGAGAAGGCCAGGCATCTGCCAAAGGTCGCAGAGGAGTGGAAAGCCATTTAAATTCCTGGCCCACGAAGGAAAACTTTTGCAATCATCTCTGAGATGTGAGGTGAAAGTTTTGGGGGTGCAAGGACAATCCACAAGGGGCCTTTCATGTCCCTGTGACTGCAGGGCCACTGCCATGCACGGGAGGGTGATGGGGTCCTTGTGGCCCATGAGCAAATGGTGGCTTTTAGAGGACAGTGGTCAGCAGACGGAGATCAGCAAACTTTTCCACACCACTTGCCCCCGTCTCTCTCTGTATATTCCCAAGTGAGGACTTTAAACAAGGCAGAAGACCAGCACTCTGGGAGGCTGAGGCAGGAGGATTGTGAGTTTCAGTCTTGCTTGGGCAACTTAGTGAGACCCTATCTTAAAATTAAAAAAAAAAAATTTGAAGGGGCTGAGGATGTGGCCTCAGTGAAAAGGCCCTGGATTCAACCCCTAGTACACACACTACCTGATCTGACATGGAATTCATCTCCAGGTTTTTTGCCTGAATTCTAATCTTTATACCTTGAGTCAAAGCTCATTGTGAAGCATAACTGTGGCAGCTTCCACATTTCAAAAACCTGAGAAGGAGTTAAAGTTCCTTTCATCTTTCTTCTTCCACTGCCAAGAATTTGCTTTCCCAGAGGAAATGCACTTTTTTCCCCCCCTGTGTCTTTTACAGTCTAGAAAACTTCAGCAGAAGTGAATGGAAGAAGTCCCCAGACCCTGCCTGGTCCCCTCTCTCTCCTTGTGAGCTAATGAGAAGGTGGCTCCGGCTGTAGGTGGCAAAGTCTCTCACATAGGCTGTAATTATCTCCCTGCCCACCCCCTTCTCCAGACGAGATTCCTTCCGCACAGGGGCCTGGGCAAAATGGTCTCTCTCTCTTGCAATTGTTGGTAGAAAAGAAGATTGTTTGTTGAATGAGCAAATGAATAAATGAGTGAGTGAATGAGTGATTGATTGGATAAAGAGTCTGTGGGGAGACCCCATTATTGTACTTTTCCCATCAGAAGACATTTTCCAGACTGTTACACTAATTAGGGCTAATATTTTCAGTTATTTTGAGGATGGCTTGAAATTTGCTGCTAATTTAAATAAAATGGTCACATTTACTCATTTACCAATTAACATGCTTCCCAGCAGCTTCACCTCACTAATTTGATTAGTTGGACTATGCTTTCTCCTACCCAGGGTCTTGTCTGAGACCTGGAAACATCACCACTCTCTCAAGGGGCTTAAACACAGATGTGAAGCCAGTTTCTCTTTCTAACCCTAGCTGTCTTTGGGGCCCTCATGTCTTTGGACCACATGTCTTTGCTCTACAAAATCATTCCTATCTCTAGGTGAAGTTTGTTCTTCAAGGGAAATGAAATGTCCCCAAATTGTGAGAGGCAATCTCTGCCATGCGTTTGACAAATGAGAGAATGAAACACTGGCGGTTGAGACACTAACACCCCTCCTCATGCTACCCGTCAGCAATCGTGATGTGACCTCAATTCATGCTTGAGATACCATTTTCCTATTTTTTTATTTGTCAGAGGCAAAACTGACTTAGAAGCTACCAGAGTTCTTGTGACAGAGAAAAGTTGTGGGCACCCACAAGGCCATGCCTTCACAGTCCTGTGCAGCAGGCCAGCCATGTGACTAGCCTGGCCCATGAGATGGGAGAGGAAGTGAGATGAGGAGCTTTCCAGCCAAAGCCAGATTTCCAGTCCCATTCTCCCCCTTGGGCGTGTTGTGGGTTCACTTGTGCATCCCCAAAATGCTGATGATGAAACCCCAATTTCCAGTACTCAGAATGGGGCCTTGTTTGGAAATAAGGTCACTGTAGATATAATTAGTTAAGTCTGGATTGGGTCCTACTGGACAAGGGCCCCTAATCCAAAATGACAAATATCCTCTTAAAAACAGAAAGTGTAGACACAAGGTGAGGACCCATGTGGAGAATGTCATGGGAAGATGGGCTATGCTGAAACAAGCCAAGGAACCAACAGCACCCAGGAGAAAGGCTCCGGACCAGATTCCTCCCTCCCACCTTCAGAGGGAATGTGGGCTGCTGGAAGCTTGGTCTTAGACTTCTCAACCTCCAAAACTGTGGAACAATAAACTCCTGCTGTACAAGCCGCTTGCTTTTGGTACTTTGCTATGGCAGCCATAGGAACCCATGCTGGGGAAAGACCACATGGTCAGACTGGGAATCCACAAAGGAGTCACTGATAGCCTGAGAGCCACTGGGCTTTCAACAAACTTTGTGAAAAGAGTAAGAAAGTATCTAAAACCTGGAAATAAAACAAAAAGGCAGGTGGGGAGACGTGGCCCATCCTTGCAATATCCTACCAGGGCATTAACAGGCTCTCCAAGAGCATGTTGTTTACTAAGGAATTGTATTCATGTTTGACTTTGCTGTTTACCTTTTGATTAGCACCCAGACACCATGAAGTTAGCTAACTCCTAGATTTCTGCCTCAGTAGAAAAGATCACTCTAATAGCTGTAATTTCATTTCCATGTAGAACATTAACCACTTTGCATCTAATCCGTCCATTTTACTTTAATATTTTCTTTGGGAAAATGCCTGCAGAGTCTCCCCTTTTCAGATGCACTCAGTGCTTACTTAGCCATCTCACAAGGTCAGCAGGATGAGCTGGGCCAGCCTTCTTCCTTCTTCACTATACTTGGTCATGGCTGGCCAGAATCAAGGCATGAAGCTCAAATGAAACTGTACCAGACAACTGTCCTTGGGAGAGGAACAAATTCACCCTTTAGCTGTGGTGAGGATACAAGGAGTAAAAATGGAGAAGAAGCCAGTCATGGTGGTGCACATCTGTAATCCCAGTACTGCAGGAGGCTGAGACAAGAGGATCACAAGTTCAAGCTAGTCTTGGCAGTTTAGCAAGACCTTGTCACCAAAGCCAAGCCAAGCAAACCAGATCCAAACCCAACCCAACCAAACAAAACAACAGGTTGGGATGTGGCTCAGTATGAAGGCCCTGGGTTCCATCCCTAGCCCTGAAAAAAAAAGGTAGAGAAGAGCCTGTCTCCAGCAGTAGAGTATAAACTCCATGAGGATAGTGGCTTATTTTCTGGTTTATCACTGTCTTCCAGAGCCAAAAACAGTATCTGGCACATGGTAGACTCTTACCAATCTCACACACACACACACACACACACACACACGGTAATGAATTATAAAGTCAGACTTCCAGGATGGGAACAGCCTTAGGAACTCTTTTAAACTTATGTGCCTACAGGACACAGAAACTCTTCATAGTGTCCCTGGAGCCCACCACACATTGTTGCTTCAGTATAAATAATGGTATAGTATCTGTCACATCTGATGACTGGTAGAGTCTCCTTATTCTCAGTCAAAAATGTAACTTTATAATTTGGAAGGAACTTTCATGATCCTCTTAAATCCATTCTTTTCCAGGCTAATCAGCTCTAATTCTTTTAGCTCAAGGACACAGTTCAAAGTCCTCTTACCAACCTTGTAATAATAATGGCCTATACTTAGTAAGCAATGACTGACTATATGTCAGCCTCCATTGCCTAAATGTTTAATGCGTATCCATTTATTTAAACCTTACAACAACCCTACAAGGGAGGAAATACTATAATCTCTATTTCACAGAGGCACAAGGAAGTTATGACACCATCCAAGGAACCCAGTAGAACATGGGATGGTTGAGACATAGAAGCCAGCTGATTCTTTATTGCTATATGTGTTGGCGAAGTGTAGCGAACAGGGGAAGGGGATGTTACCAGAACCTCTGCAGTGAGTCCTGGTCTCCTGCGAGCCATGGCAGCACACGGAGAATTACAGGAAAGGTAGACAAATGAGACTGAGAAGAAGCTGAGCTTTGGGTCTGATCAGTGCTGCTCTGGGCAGCAAAGACAAAGACCCCTAGCTTGCAGCACCTTTTATTTAGTACATCCAAAGAAACAAATGTAACAAATGAATAATGTAGATTTCAGTATCATATTGGGGTGAACAAGGTGTAACAAAAGACTGGGTGGGGGCGGCGGAAATCTAAGAACAATGAGGAACTATGCAGATGAAGATTTAGTTCCTCCCAGGAACTACACAGATGAAGATTTGGTTCCTCCCAGGGCGTCTCCCACAGGTGTGGTCTTGTCCTGGAGGATTACAGCATCATGGGATCATTGAGATCTCCCTTGTGACCTGAGGCCCAAATGGAAGTATGTCTTGGAGTGTTATTGCTGGCCTGTAGGCAGGAGAACTAGGCCTACTCAAATGATTTTTCCCTAGAATTATGTAGCATTGCTCCCAACATATCTCCCTTTCTTTTTGTTTTATGTGAAAGTGTTTAGGAAAAGTGAGCACACCCAACAATACCTTGACCCTATATATTGTGAGGATCTATAGTGTGTTTGACTGGCTTAGCTGTCTATAAGCATAATTTCTATTAATTGGGGCTGTAAAAGGATTAAAAAATCTAACAATTTGTTTTTAAACATTGGGTTTAAAAACTTAAAACTTTTGCTGAACTCAAGTAGCTATTGTCTTATATAGTTATACGTTTCTACTGGGTGTTTAAGACCAAGTTACGGTGAGACCTATATTAAATAAAGTCAATCTCTTGCTATCTAACAAGGTCAAATAAGTCTCCGCAGGCACTGTCTTGGAACCATGCATAGAGCCTCTTAGCTCCTCTGTCAGTGTCAGCCATCAGGATATGTCACGGCCTTGCTTGACCATGTTGCTTCCTGCGAAAGCATGGGAGATTTTTTTCCTCCAGGTGACATTCCTTTGGCACACTTTTTGTTGGATCTTTACTGTTTTGGTGTTCAGCAATCAACAGCGAAGTTTTTGTCACTGTGACCAAATACTTGACATATACATCTCAAAGGAGGAAAGGTTGCTTTTAGCTCACAGTTAGGGGTCCATGGCCTTCTGGCTCCAAAACAGAAATGGCATGGGGGAAGATGGCAGAGGAAAGCTGCCAACCACATACCAGCCAGGAAGACAAGCAGAAAGGAAAAAGCCAGAGAGATAGGAACAGAATATATTCTTCCAGGTCACACTGCAGTGGCCCACTTCCTCCAACCAGGCCCCACCTCCTAACAGCACCTTCAACCATGGAGTCATCAATGAAACAATCCACTGATGAGTACAGCACCCCATGATCCAATAACCTTCCCCAAACCCCACCTCTGAACACATAAGCCTTTTGGGGGACTTTTTTGATTCAAACCATAACATCATACGTTGTCTTATTATTTGCTTTTTGATATTTCTAGGCATCCTACCCAGTGTGATGCTCAGCAAGGAACATATGATAGGGGCCAGAAAGACTGTCACCTAGGGTTGTTGTGTATTCCCCAGATGACAATGTGAGGTGCTATATCCCTCTCCTGGAGCCATGCAGTGCACAACCTGCACAATGACATTTTAAGTCACATCTGTGCATATGTGACCTTCCCTGGACTGTCCTTGACCTGTGAAAGATTTTGCTGAGAACGGCCAGTAGGAGTGGGGAACACTCTTGGAAATGCACGTTTAACATTTGATTTAGACCAAACCTGGGAGACTCCGAGTACCCGTGGGACCTGCATCTATCCAGTCTCCTCCTGAGATGTGCGCTGACTTCACCCTCAGGCAATACATCCCGAGTCCCTCCTTTTCTCATCCTCTCCATGACTCTCTGAAGTTCTTGAGGGATGAAGGTGCCTTTGGGAAGCCTTACCAGCCAGAAGTCCTGCTCCTCAGCCATCACTCAATCTCTGCCCTCCATCTCCAAGAAAACCCAGTCCTCTCTGGCTCTCCTAGGTCCCTGGGCAGCCCAGCCTCAACTGACTCCTGCCACGGCCAAGTCCCCAAACCTTCCTGCTCTGGGAAAAGTGTGTGACCTGAGCTTGGTACTGATAGCTGTGCATCTCAGCCTGGCCCCGTTGGGAGAAAGCAACTGAGTGGCTCCAGTGTTTCCTGTATAGTGCAGCCACGTGGTGTTCTGTAGCTTCAAGGGGTGGGGAAGGGACCCAAACCTGAGATTCGCTGCACCTCCACATCAAGAAGCTGACTTACAAAGGCAGCTCCTGACATTCCTGGCAAGCACAGTACAAACTCACAGCTTCCTAGGTCAGCTGGATTTGAAAACAAAGGAACTGGAGATAAGTAGATGGCCAGAGCTCACAGAGCTGGGCCTAGAGATGGCCCTGTCCAGTTTCATCATACAGACAGGAAGACAGGCCCCTATGAAACTAAGCAATGGTGGAAGAGATTGGAACTGGTCTTGATCTGCATGGTGACACAGGAATTCACTGAACTGTCCACTTAAGATGTGCACACTTTTGTGCAAACTGTTCCCCACAAAAGGAGTAAAACACAATAAAGAGAAGGTACAGGGGGCATTGCAAAAGTGTTTTAAGATCAAGCCCAGGACTCGAGCTCCTTGATGTCCACTTCACTGCTCTATCCCTGGCTCCATGGTGTTGTTGCTGCGATGGTAACTCACGATGGTCCAGTGTAAACCCAGGTTCAGTGTAAATCCAGGTTCTGGCCAGGGAAGGCATGCATGATAGATGACATGTGAAATCTAGGGGAGTCAGATGATTGTATCAGATAAAACCTCGAGGGTGTTCATACCGAGACTTAATGGGTAGTTATAATGGTGGCACTGTCATAACAATACTGAAGGCTCGTGTTTTTAGAGCACTTAGGATATGCCAAGCGCTATCTTAAATACATGTATTAAATCCTCACAAAAACTCATATTTGATATATCATTTGTATTCTTCTGGTTTGCTTTACTACAATGAAGCATGGGAGGCAAGCTACTTTATAAATAAAAAGGTTTATTTTGGCTCATAATTTTGGAAATTTGTCGGTCCAAGTGTGTGGACTGCCTTCTTACTGATAGTCGTAGGTGTTAGAGGGCATCACACAGCAAAAACAAGGAGCAGACATGTAGATCTATTCTGGTCTCCCACCCTCTTCTTAGAAAGCCTCCAGGTTCAGTCCTCCACTTTCAAGCTTTCACCCTAATGGCTATATCTAATTCTAATCACTTCTGAAAGCCCCTGCCTCTGAACACTGTAGCTGGATGAAGTTTCTTCCTCCTTAATACTCACCACAGGGATTAAATTTAACACACTGACTGACTGGGAGACACATTCAAGCCAAATCCAAACCACAACACCACTGAAAACCTACTTTTTACAAATAAGAAAATAGTTCTAGATTGAGAAGCCTTGCTAAGATTTCACAAGTAGAAAGCTTCAGAGCTGGCGCTTCAGGCAACATGGGCCCAGAACCCATGTTACTGCCACAACACAGACTCTCCCATACTGAATCATCTAGAGCTGGCTGAGCACCAGCTGCCTCTGCTCAGGTCAATGCCACCTTCCCACAGAGGAGAAATCCAACATCAGCCCAGTCAGTCGGAAAAGACTGTGAGGATTAGAAAGCAGAAGGGGATTTACAAAGAGACTAAAGTACTTGCGGCCTACCCGCCTTGGTCCACACAAGGATAGCCTAGGGGTGGTCTGCACTGAAAATGCTGGTACTCAACTTCGCTAATAATCAAAGAAATGCAAACTCAAATCACAATACCATGCTAAATATCTACCACATTGGCTATAATTAGAAATATAAATAATAGCAAAAGTGAACCAAGCGTGTAGAGCAATTAGATTTTAATAAGCAGTTGGTGGGAGTAAACACTAGAAAAACTCTTTGGCAGTATACTTGTTGGTTTGGGCTACCATAACAAAATACCATAGACTGTGTGGTTTAAATAATAGAAAACAACTTTCTCATGGTTCTGGAGGCTGAGAAGTTCAAGATCAGGATGTTAGCCAATTTGATTTCCGGTGAGGGCCCTTATCCCAGCTTATAGAGAGCTACCTTGCTGCTATCTTCCACAGGGCAGAGAGAGAAGGGGGGGGAGGGTGCAAACGAGCACTCTGGTGTTAATTCTTGAAAGGAATATAATCCTATCATGTAAAGACTCCCCTTTATGATCAAATTTAACCTTAATTTACTTCCTCACTCCCAATACTGCCAGGGTTAGGATTTTATGAATTTGTGAGGGAACATAATGCCGTCCATAACATTCTGCTCCTGGTCCATCCAAATTCACGTTTTTATTGCATGCAAAACACATACATTCATTCCATCTCAACAGCCCCAAAGGTCTTGACTCATTCCAACATCAATTCTAAAGTCTGAAGTGTAAAAAGTCTCATCTAAATATCTAAATCAGGTATGGGTGAGACTGGGCAGTACCATTCATTTCAAAGCAGAATTCGTTTCCTGCTAAGCTCATGAAAACAGACATTTTATATGCTTCCAAAATACCATGGTGGGTCAGGTGTAGGATGGACATTCTCATTCCAAAATCAAAACATCAGAGTGAAGGAAGGGTGATGAACTCCAAAGAAGTCTAATACCTAGCAAGGCAAATTCCATTAGTTCTTAAGGCCTAAGGAAAATCTTTGGCTTAATGATTCTGTCCTTTAGGCCCACTAGGCTGACAGAATCACTCCCATGGCTCTGTGGGCAGAGCCCTGCCTCCTTGCTGGTGGAGATATCATCTATCCCTGCTTTCAGGGACTGTGGTAGAAGAGACAGCCCCGAGGGCCTCTGAATTGCCTTTACCATCATTCTTCCTTTTCCTTGAGCAAAAGTGTACATTCATAGCTAAATAACTCCATGGCCTAGGATTGGGGAATCCAAAAAGTTGAACAACTTCTCTTCAATCCCTCTTATGTCCTCTACCTCTCTGCCTGTGTAACCTCCCTCCCTGGTTTCTTCTGGGATGACTAATTCTGTGAATCACACTCCACGATAAATTTATCATGAGCCACATCCTTAGTGTCTTCTTCATAAGAAGATTTTTCATTCCAGTTTTTTTTCCAGTGTGGTTAGGCTGAAGCTTCTCCAAATCTTCAGGTTAAGGTTCATGAGGTCACAAGGGTGGAGCCCTGATCCCATAGGATTAGTGTCCTATAATTCTAGACACAAGTGAACTCATTTTCATTCTCTCTGTCTCTCCTCCACCTCATCTGAGCACTCACAGAGGAAACCATCTGCAAGCCATGAGGAGGACATCTACCAGAAGCCAAGTTGGCTTCTCCTTGATTTTGTACTTTCCAGCCCCCAGAACTGAGAGAAAATAAATTTCTATTGTTTAAACCACCCTGTCTGTGGTATTTTGTTTTGGCAGCCTGAGCAGACTAATAACAGGCAATGTCTATGAGAAGTGAAATACATTAGCCTATGACTCAATGATTCTACTTTTAGGTATAAATTCAAAAGAAATGAGTGCATATGTGCATCAAAAGACATGAGCAGGATATTCATTGCCATAGTATTCACAGTACTTCCAACTGGTAATGCATTAACAGTAGGATAGATAGCAAAGTATGGTATATTCATAACCTGAAACAGTACATAGTCATACAAATAAGCAAGCTACAACTCCATGGAACAGCACAGATGTGTCTCATAACTATACAAGGCAACACAAGAAGGTATGTGGTATATGATCCTATCTATGTAAAATTCAATATCAGGTAGTAATATATTTTTTAAAAATTTGGGTGTTAGGTCACATGAGTGTATTTACTCTATGGAAATTCATCAAGTTGTAAATTTTTATATTTTATATATATACATATATAATATTTGCATACACACATATAGTACTTTAATAAAAAGTTTATGTAAAGAAAGTCACAAATCAAAATCATCATGGCATTTTATAATAGTGAAGAGTGAGCTGCTACATCAGTATTAGGTGGTGTGGGAGATGGTATGATCTGCTGACCTGTAATTAACCAGTCATAGCACAGCAACTCAACCCGCGAAAGTGGTCAGATTTCATTGGACAGTCACTGGGAAGTCTCACCACTCATACTCAAGGTAACTCACATTAACGATGTTCTTTAGTCATGCATTTAGGCAGATAGTAACTCTTTTGAACAAAGAGAACTGTAATTGCACACATACATAACTATGTCTATATCTCTCTATTCTGTCTATGTCACCTACCCATGATAGTATCATTTTAAAATCATTGTTCTCCTCTGGAGTTAAGAAAACTCTGCGAATGTTGTCAGTTGACAACATGTCATTCCAGGGTGCTACTGGTCAATAGTTGTATAGCGTACTTTTCTTAATAAACCATCTCTCTTGCCTGTGTCTTGGCATCTTCTTTGTGTGTCTGAAGCCCAGATTACACATGGAAAATTCTTTTTTTTTTTTTTTACACATGGGAAATTCTTAAGGATGCCCTATTTTCCTGGTAGCTATCCATCATTCCACCAGAAGCAGGCCATAAGAGTTGGAAAGAAGTCTTCAGGCTATACATTTTAGCCCTAGCTATGATCTGCAAAAGGAGAGAGTCGGAAGAGCATGCCAGGGTGCTTGGAGAGACTCGGCTATGTCAGGGAGCTTGGGGAACACTTGGGCTGCTTCCTGCTAGAGAAGGAAGGGCTTGACTGTCAGGAGAAGGACTGAGGCTTATTTACCCATTGCCTCCCCAGAAGAGACAGGTGTTTCTCTTCAGAAATGCATCTTCTTTCTCCCCACTCCAGAGAATCCTAGGCCCCTAGCATCCACTCTCTCAGCTTCCTTCCAGGCAAGACAGGTATGACTCTCCCCTTAGGGTCTTGGGAATAGTTCTTGAAGAAAATCCAGGGCAGTCGGCTCAGAATTTAGATATTCTTCCCCCACACCAGCCAGTCACACCCCCACCCCCAGCACAAAGTACGAAGGACTCACCTGGGGCGTCATGCCGTGGCAGATGTACATGATGGGGACATTCTCTGTGTCTGGCCCCTGGTCAAGACACAAATCTGTCTTCAGGGAATTCTGCAGCTGAGCATCAGAAGGGAGAGCCACACCAGAGAGAAGAGAGAAAACAAGGGTATTAACTTGGGGAGCAAGCATCCTGAGACAGAGAGCATCTCCTTGAGCAACCCAAGGTCTCTTGAACACTGGAATCCGCAGGTACCAGCTTCTGCCTCGCATAGAGGTGTGAAGGGAGACTGCCTTATGCTCAGGGAGAAACAGTCACATCTCCTTAATCAGCAAGCTGGCTTTGGGGGCTGAAATTGTCTAATCAAAGATAAAAGACACATGTGTACACACAAGATAGTGCTATGGTGTTCACTCCTGCACTACTCCAGACACAGTGGCTTTCAAGGGTCTAAGACCTCTCTTAGAAAGGGCAGCCTCTAGTACCCATGGCCCTGCTCACCAGTCACAGCTGAGGAGACCAGTGGCCGCCTACCTGGAGTTTAGAATAAATGAGCGTCTCCTTGTTCCTCTCTTATCTCTGGAATTTGACCATATCATTCTCTCAACCTGTGATAAGAATCTAAGTGAGATGAGGAGACTGTGATCAGTGGGTAGTGGCCACAGAACTGTGACATGGTTGAGATTAAGTGTAGGGGATAAATAATAAGGCAGGTAGGATGAGAGACAAAAGAGACCATTCTGCTTTTGCTCTGCTTTAATGGCTTTCTAGATCACATGCCCATGTCCTATTATACTACAGTTCCTGTGCCCATGAGAGGATTATAGTACTTTCACCCAATCCCTGCCTTAACTTGAGCTAGCTTAACTGGGTTTCTCTTCTTAGCAATCTTAGAACAGGTGACTGGAGACCAGAATGCAGAAAGACAGAGGCAGTGGACCACAGCCGGGTCACCTTTCTAGGGAAAGTCCAGAGATGGGGATCCCTGGGCTTGTGTAGTCCTAATGCCTTGTGGCAAGAGTGGGATAGACCCCATGGAGTGGCATGGGAGCGGATATCAGAGGCACATGTGTGCTCTGTGTAAACCCTGCTCTTCACAGGTTACAGGGAACAGAGTCGGGTTCTTTTCTCTTGAGTTTCCTTTCCTTTATGAGTTATAGCAGCTTAGTCCCACACAGTTCAGGGCTTCTGAAGAAGTACACATGAATGCATGTCCACTCCTCAGGCAAGGGCCCCAGAAGCATCTGGGCAGCAGTCCTCCATGGCAGACTCTCTCCTAGGCTTGCCTTTGTGGGAGAAGACACTTTAGACCTGTCCTGTGGCTCATGGAGAGATGACGGTTGCATCATCTAAAGCCAACCACTGTGACCCATTATTATGACTTGCTAACTACTGTGGTTAAGAGAAAAACCCAGAGATCTCTGAGATGAGGTTGGGTTCTTCCCTGGGTTCTTAAACTGGCCTCTGGGTGAGGCGGTGGCTGTTTTTTTGTTTTGTTTTGTTTTGTTTCTTAAATCTATCCTGGCTCTGCGTCATTCCTTCCCCTTTAAACAGTGGTCTATTGAAGCAGTGGGGAGAGATGGAGTCCTAGATCCAGCTGTGTCCTGGATCCAAAGCAACAGAATACCTTCCTGTCTGTTTTCTTCCCCCTGAAACAGAGATAATAACAGTGCCTTCGTCGAAGTGCTGTTAGGAGGATTAAGCGAAACAGTATCTACAAGTGCTTAGCACAGGGTCTGGCAAACAGCAAAAGTGCAATAATTGTTAGCTGCTATATTACCGTTCTAACCTACCCGAAAGCCGCTCAGGGAAACTAGCTTTTAGGAATGCATCTACGTGCCAGGTACCACATCAAGTGCTTTCCATGTGAATTGCACCTAATTCTCCAAATAATCCAGCCAGGTCTGTAATATTCTCTTTTAAGGGTGAAGAAACCATGGCGAGGTTGCCTGTGTGTAATGCCTCTCCCACTGTGTGGGCGCCTGCCCATGTTGCCCTCTGCCTTGCCCTTCTCTTCACCTGACCAAACCTCCTCTTCTTCAGTTTCAGTTTCTCTGCAACTCTGGAGGCCTTTCTTGACCCAAGTCTAGCATGAGGCCACTGCTCTACCCTTCTCCACTACCTCATTTTTCTCATTGCAGCAATGGAATACTACATTCTGCTTGCTTCTTCAACTGTCCTCCATTTTTAGTTTCCAGACTGAGTCTCAGCCCTTCTGTATAAGAGATGATCAAAAATACAATAAATGTTTAAATTTTTTAAAAAATGCATTATAGTAAAAGACACATTGTCATTAATCCTCTTCAAAATACTCTTGCCTTTCTTTGAATACACTTATGCCATCGTTCTCACCATTTTCTGAAGCAGTTCTGGAAGACCTCTTTCATGAGATGTGATAAAAAAAATACAGTGAATGCTGCCGAGTGCCATCCAACAGAAAAGTAGGCTTATAAAAATATTACAGTGTGTCCTTGCCCATCTGATTCATCGAATGCAGCACTGTGTGACTTCTGGCTCTTCCCCAAAGTCAAAATGACCATGAACGGTAAGTGTTTTGAGTCAATTCAGGACATTGAGGCAGCCATGACAGTAACACTGAAGACACTCATGAAAAAGGACTTCCAGAACTTCAGAAAGTTCTTATCCCATGAATGATAAGTGTGCTTAGTGAGGATGAGTATTTTGAGGGGGGATTAATGGCAATGTGTCTATTACTGTAGTAATTTTTTTATTGAAACACATACTGTATTTTTTTTATCACACCTCATACATCACATGGTCCAGGGGACTCAGTAGACAAGTATAGTTGTCAAAATAATGTGTGCAAAAAATGAATGAATGAATACATAGCGTTCCTAAATTAATGGCAACAGAGTTGAACAAGTGGCAGAACTGAGTCTGTCTAGTCTGAAGCCCGGGCTCTATCATGCAAATGGCTGTAAACCTAAGACTGTATAAGATGCCCCATGAGATAGATTACAATAACCATTAAGGTTTTGCGGATTATCAAGGTTACACAGCAAGTAAGTGGCAAAGCAAATGTTCAGAAGCCGGGCACATCTGTTTTTAAGATGTTTCTTCATCTCTACTCTTAGCATCAGACCTGGGACCCATCCAGAGCTATCCCATCTCCTCAAACACAGGGCTCAGTAATCCAGGAGAAACCCATACCCATACAATAGGGCTCATGGGTCCGTCTGTCTCTAGGAGGCATTAATGAGGCTTATTAGTGGATTAATGGGCTGGGCTGTAGACTTGATGCTATCCTGATTGAGAAACCCACAAGTTATTTGACCTGAACAATGTAGTTCGGGCATGAATTGTAGCAGAAAAAGATAACAAAGAAATTCTGCCCCAGAAAAGACATCTGGTCTCTTTGTTTTAGGATAAAACTAATTACCAGGAAGAACAATTCAGAGCCAGGAATTCTCTTGCTCTTGTGGCTACATCCTGTTTGGCCCATCTTCACCCGATTGCCCTCATTAAGAGTTCATTATGCTCCCTGACAAGCAAGCATAGCTCTGCTCATGTAGGAGCCCAGACACTGACACTGCGGTTGGGGCAGGGAGGCCAGCTGCACCCTGCACTGTGGCTGACAGATGAACCTGTGCAAGGGCAGAGACCTCAGTCAGCCCCCAGATGGCTAACGCAGCCGGGCCCTTTGGGATATGCATGCCTTTCAGCATGACTGGGTGCAAACAGCCCATGCTATGGGCTCAGACAGATCCCAGTCCTGTATACGCCATATACTAATGACACATTTCTGGGTCTGGCGTCAGGGACTATCTGATAGACCACTGTACACAAGTGCAAGAAGAGACGTTTTTGCTTAGAAGATGAAAATACCTTTGGCCAAGACACAGAATTGCAATGGTTACATGTATCCACCTCCATTATCCCTGCTTCCTCTGCCTCTGGCTGAGTTTGGCTAATCCTTTCAGCTACAGCTGATGGCCTTCTGGGAACAGGAGTCTAGAAGCTGGCCCCTACGCAAGAGGTTTGGAGTTAATGATTTCTCTGGAGCCACTGTGGCATCACTGTCCTCTTAGTGGCCAAGAAGCACCCATAGCTTGCTCTGGGTCAGAGTACGGGACATCAGGAAGGGTGAATCCTTGGATGCTTCTAGTGAGGTGAAGGGAACTGATGAACACTTTGGAGTGCAGTGTGTTTCCATGGTGATGGCAGGATCTGGAGCCTCAGGTAATAGCTGGGCACCAACAACACCTTAGGTCTTTTCTGACCTCTGAATTCACCCCCCTGAGAAGCTGAGAGGCAAGAGGCCACTGGGCACTTCTCTTGTGATGTGCCAACAATGCTGGGGCTGTCATGGGAGGGCAGACTCCTTCCTACACACTGGGTCCCTGTACAAGAGAGGCTGATGAGGGACAGGGAGGTCCTGGGGTCTGTGTCCTTTAGAATCTTAGGATGTTTATGTTCAGAGGCCCATAGAGAACACTGAGCCCAGTCTCTCAGCAAGGACTCTTCCCACTGCTGGGCTCTTGTGGATGCTCTGCCCATCCTGTTCCCTAATGAGGAAGGTCTTGAACTTAGTCCACAGGGCTTCAAAGGACAGGCCTCCGTTCTTCAAGTTTTCATCCTGGGCTATCAAGAAAGGTCTGGGGGCACACTGTCCAAGTGAGGAACCAGGGTGGTATTACCTGGTGTTAAACTCAGTTTCACTGTTGATTATCTGTGTGAATGAGACAAGTCATTTCTTGCCCCTCTGTTTCTGTTTAAGTGGTCTCAAGGGCCTAACTGTCACAGATAAAAATGTTATATGCTCAGACTATAAGTCAGTAAAAAGCTGGTGAAATATCCAAAAACCAATCGGGTACCATTTAAAATATCTTAAGAGCTGCAGATCGTTGTTTATCATGTTCAAAGAGTTGCAATCTTAGACAGAAAGTACATTTACATACTTCAGACTTGCTTCTATTCTGGGACAGTCTTAGCTTATTGCACTGAACAGATGAAGGACAAACATTGAGATGCTTGCCTGGAAACTGGGCCAGATCAGAAGCACATCTGTCTGTAGATCCTATGATCTACCCTCGTCACCTTGGTGTCCCCATCAACAAGTGGAACTACTGCCTTGCTCAAAGTACAGTGAGCTCAAGAAGGTTCTGTCTCTCCCTTCCTCTGTGTATCTCTTTCTGGTCTGACTTTCTGCCTGCATCTAAATGAAACCCATGAGAAGCTGGCTCCTTACCACCCCGTAGGCAATGATGTCAGAATACATCCTCATCTCTGGATACACGCTGACCAGGTACCATCGGAAGGTTTTGCATTGAAGCTGCTTCCTCAGAGCTTTTCTTGCAGTGATGTCCCCGATGTCAATTCCTGAGTCCTGCACAGGGAAACACAGGCAGAGATGCAGCTTCACCCCAAACCCCACCTTGGAATGACCAGAGCCCCCAAGCAAGATTTGCAGAGACTCTGCTGGAGCAACGACGTGAGAAGTTAACTTACGCAGTCTTCCACATAGACTGTTATCACTCCTATAACAATCCCTGTCTAGACCCTGACATGTGAGGTCAGTATTGATGGGGACTGTCATCAAATGCCACTGAAAATAAAGATGCAAATCCTTACACTTTATATGACTATAATTTAGCACTGTATCCATTTATACAGGGAGCCATTTGCAGAACATGTCTCAGGAAGGGCTCTGTGTTCTAGGGTTCTAAGTTCCAAAGGGGAAACCCTGTTTCCTAACTCAGGATTGAAGCACTATTTTTCTCTCTCCTTAGGATCTACTAAAACATGAAAGAGATATAATCTATCAGGTATACAATCTCTAACCTCTAGGAAGCGCCAGAGCCAGCTTATATGTCTAGATACCACATCCCTGTTTATTAACTGACTTTTGCTTTTCTGTTTTAATGGTTCAGCTTATCAGCACTATGTATTTACTGTTAATTGCATCAAGCCCTTTTTCAGAGCAAGGGCATAAATCGAGAAATATACAGACCTCAGACAAGGTCACCTTGGCTCTTATTAGAAAATAGTGAACACATCTTCTTTTGCCAAATATTTTATATAGTGAGTTGAATAATTTCCTCTTCTAAAATTCATATCTGCCTAGAACCTCTCAATGTGACTTTATAGCTTCTTTAAAGATATAATTAGTTTGAGATCCCAAGATAAAATCATCCTGGATTTAGGATGAGCCAAAAATCCAATGATGAGTATCTTCCTGAGAGAATGGAGAGGGAGAAATTTGAATACACAGAGACAAGGACACGAGAAGACCACATGAAGACATACGCAGGGCTGGTATGATGCATCTACAAACCAAGAATGCCAGCAGCCACCCGAAGCTGGAAGAGGAGGGGAAGGATTATCCCCTAAAGCTATCAGAGGCAGCATGGCCTTGCTGGCCCTCTGATGTTTAAACTTCTGGCTTTTAGAACTGTAAGAGAATAAATTTCTATTTTTAAGCCACTGAGTTTGTGGTAATTTGTCTTCACAGCCCTGGGAAACTCATAAAGTTAGCCACGCCAAAAATGGGCTAGTATTCCTGCCACAAAATCCCCTGTGACCAAACCTAAAGAAAGGCCAGCACCAAAGGGCCACTTGAGCATCCCTGGCCCTCAGTCTGTCTTTGGGCAGAGGAAGCAGCAGCTGCTCTAGAATACTGAGCCTTGCTTAAGAAAATATTGATGCCTTGCTGCAGGGTGACTTTTTGTGTATTGATAAGCAAAGTGATTTTCAATGAATGTAGCAGGACACAAGAGCCTGAGGATGCTTCAGCTTCTCACAAACTTGGGACTGAATGTGGTAAGGGAGCAGGTGAGAAGTCAAGCCCTGTGCCATGCTCTGCATATAGGTGACAGGTAGAAGATGCCTACCCAAGAAGGGTGTTAGAAAGCCAGGGAAAGAATGCACCAGTCATAAGAAACAACACCAATGATAAGGGTTAACACTTATCTAGCGCTTTCTAGGTGCTGTGCACAAATCAACATTTTGACATATTTTAAGGTATTTAATGTCCCAGGCAGCCACTTCAGCAGGGTTGGAGGGTTCCAGCTCTGCATTTGCAGGTGGGATGCTGCAGGGGGCAGAGGGAAGGTGAAGTAAACTGGTAACAGATGCAGATGTGCCTATGACTGAGCAGGGAGTAGTGGAGCAATATCACATCATGGGCAGCTGGGACGCCTCCTGGGGACAACCTGGGGAGGGGAGCAGGCAGCTTCCTCCTCTCCTTTCTTTGTCACTTCATCTTTACCAAACTCCTCTCTGAGCCCTGAGCACTGTGTGTACAAGCAGGACTGCCACAGTCTGTGCCTGAAGGGAGATGAAGACAATAAACAGACTGTGCACACGGTGTGAGGCACAGAGGGAAGCAGAGCATGTGAGGACGAACAGAAGAAAAGCCCTCATCATGCTTACTATGTGGGTGGCTGAGAGGGAGGAGGCCAGCAATCAAAGAGGTCCGGACTCCTGGAGTGGAGGATGCTTGAGGTGAGTTTGGAGCGATAAGCAGGGCTAGCTAAATTAGTGTTCCCCAACTCTGGCTACCCTACGTCATCACCTGGATCACCTTCTCCATGTTCCGGCAACTCTACAGACTTACTGATCTGAATCTCTGAGAGTGAGGCCCAGATCCGCATTTCTCACAAGCGTCTGAAGTGATTCTGATGCAGTTGCTCTGCAGATTGGCTTCTAGGAACTACTGACAGAGGGAGAAAGGGATTACACACATGGCCAGGGTGAAGTCATGCATGAATGAGCCCTGACCATGTGCTCTGCCTTGTGCTATGCACAACAACACTGATTTGGATAACTCAATCTGTTCTCTGGGAGTCCTTGGTCTGCCACAGTAGTTTTCAGTTCTAGATGGACCTCACAATCCCCAGGAGAGCTCTCCAAAATCAGATTCCAGAAGCCCTTTCCAAGCCAGTTAAGTCATAATCTCTAGGGGTGGAGCTTAAGTGATTTTGAAGTCCAGCCAGAATTGAGAATCATTGGTCTACTGAGAGAGATTTTAGACAGGCTGCTCATGCAATGACAGAGACATGTATGGGATGGAGAGCACTTTCCCAGTCAGGGCTGGATGTTCAGAAGAAGGGTCACCAGAGCTGAGTCTGCAGGGATGGAGGAGACCTGTAGGGGTAGGAACATGGAAAGTGGTGGATATGTGAGTTCCAAGTAGAGAGAACAGAGAGAGCAAGCACAGAGGTGAGAAAGAGCATGGTGCAAATGGAGCTGTGGCAGTTCCCACAACCCAGCCATCTATGTAGATCCCAAAACAAGGTGTGGGAAGGAGTGAGGCTGGGGATACAGATAGAAGAGAGGACATGGGCCCCTCAGATGCAAACTGAACATTGCACTTGGCACTTGACTTTGTACATAGTGGAGAATTGTTTATAAAGATTTTAAACAGGGCAAAGCTATGTTTACTCTAAATTTTTTAAAAGGTAACCTCAGGTAGTGTGAAGTCTAGATTTGAAGGGAGAAAGACTTGAGCCAGGGAGCCAATTGGAGCCTGTTGCACAAGCCCAGACAGAGCCTGAACTCAGATGTGAGAGGAGGAGGGAATGGGAAGGGGGGCTTGACGATTGCTAGAATGGGATTGAGAGGAAGGTGGATGAAAGGATCAGTTTCAGGCTCAGGTTTCTGGGCAGATGGTGGTGGCACCAGAAACTGAGGCAGAGGATGAGAAGAAAAGCAGGAGGCTTGAGGGAAGAAGATGTGCTCAGTTTGGGTCATATTCACTCGGAGTGCCAGTGGAAACGCCAGGAAAAGATGTCCAGCTGGCAGGTGGCAATGCAAGTCTGAAGTAGACCTGGTGATAGTAATTAGAAATTTGTCAACATATGGGTGGTAGTCAAATCCAAGAGCAGATGCGATTGCCCAGAGAGGTGATGTGTAATGAGAGCTGCTGGCCAAGGGTGCATTCCCCAGGGAGCACTCCAGCAACTAGCGGAAGTAAGAGGAACCGTAAGGATGAAGGCGTGAATAGAGAGAGATGGAGAGATTTGAGAGTGTGGATCATGGAGCCAAGGGACTGGAGTTTCAAGGAAATGTGGACTTCTGTAGGTGAAAGGTTTCAAGATGTCTGTTACAGTAGGCAGTTAGGAGGTCCATGCTGGCCTTGGCAAAGGCAGTACTTGATGGGATATGGGGATGTGACTTGAGAAATGAGTGGAAAGTGAAAATCTGTTGACTCTTTGCAGAAGCTTCAGAGGAGGAAGGAGTTTGGACACAGAAGGTAGCAGAGGACTTGAGACAGATTTTTAAGGAAACAACTGACCCCTTCCTTTTCCACCTATGGCTTTATCTGGGCATTGCCACCTCTCATCTGCTCACTTCTCCCCACCCACTTGATTGGTCTGCAGTATCTCCCCGAGGGGTCAGAGGCAGACACTGAGTTTCATCATTTTTCAATTACTTTTACTCATGTGTTTTTCTACCAGTCACTGGGTTGCTGTCTATTTCAACATCTGTCAGCTCCAATGGGTTACATCTAGAGCCTTGGGGGACAGATAGAAGGGCATGGGCAGGACTCCAACCCTAAACAGAGCCTGGAGGTCTACAGTGTTCATTGATGAACTGCTGGGGAGTTTCCAAGTGCTCTTAACAGTTTCTGCCACCAGGGGACACCCACAGCAGGACTCAGGGCCCTATGCAGAATTCGGTGATCTAATGCCCAAAAGGCACAGTGGTTTCCCTAGAAACACTCTTACTGTCAGGGATGCAATCCCTGGGCTGGTTCATTAGGGTTGGCTCCACTCTGGCTGATATTCCCTGGCTCCTCATTTTCCCTCCCAGCTGATGAAATCTCACTGATTATAGGAGTCTGAATCCAAACTCAAATTCCCTTTCCCAGGGTGGTAGTCTCTAGAGAGAGGTTACCAAAAGCTCCCACCCAAGTCTCAGCCTACTTTCTATCAATTTAGCCAGAGAAACATTAGCTTGGCTGAAAGTTCAAGGTACAGGGCCTTCCTATGGAAACTCTAGGCAATAATTGATCTTTGAAAGAGAGTTGATCCTTTCTAAAGGACTCCCAATGGGATGCCACAGCTCTGGGAGGAAAGAAAGAGGTCATGCAGTCAACAGCTCTGTCACACAGAGTGCAACATAAGCAATGAACTCTGGAGTTGGTATGGCGGTTGGCATCCTGTGGGTGGCATCTGTTGGGTTCTTCTCACTCAGCATTCCAAGGTCATTTCCATGTGACACATGGCAAGGCTGAACAAAACCACAAGTGAAACATTGCTTTTTCTCTGACACTTCTTAAGAGTAGGTGACTAGAGAGACAGAGGACAGTGGCAAACAATAAGTTTCTGTGATGAGGTCAGAAACAGCCTAAAAATGTCCAGAATAATTTTCTTTTTCTACTGAGGATCCCTGTGGGAGTGTATCCACTCCCCACTCATATGGCTAAATAAATCCTACCGGTGTGTGGATATTCCTTATTGTTGGTCAGAGGTTAAATGGAGAAGCTTAAATCCAGTTTACAGGGAGATTAAGGTGCATTTTGTGAAGTGCTTCTCATTACTAGTATATTTTTAATCCTGGACCATGAATACCCAATGTCAGAGATGCTGGGGACCAGGAGCAGGAAGGAGATGTAGAGCCATGGGACTAATTTTCATCTTAAAATGAGGTTACAAAAGCTGAGAGAATAAGTTCTCCATAAGGCATGCTGATCAGGTGCATGGTTAAGAAATGGCTCAGAGTCTCAGAATTAGTCCCTTTCTACAAATAGATGTTTGTGAGTTGGCGGTCCCTTCTAGCATGGTGGACAAGACCTATGCGAAGAACTTATTTCAATGATTTTGCCCCCCCCCCACTAAACCCAAAGAAACTCAGCCCCACTGGTGTTCCTTACCTCTTGGGGTATGTTCCAGGCCATGTAGACATGACTTTTAAATTCATCCATCCAGACTTCAGCCACCCTGAGGGCATTCCTGCGGACATGCGCAGTGAGGTCCTCAGTGTAGGGCTTGTGGGCTCGCTCGATGTGGGCGATCCGCGAACAGGGCAGGACCTCCACGCTGCCACCACACTGCCATACCTGCAGAAGACAAGGAGCCTCTTGTCAGTGCCAGACAAGACTCTATCTCTACACCACCACTCAACATGAGCACAGAGAAACCCAGCCCATTCCACCTTGTCTCTCCACACAGTGCACCAGGGAATGAGCTGTATCTGATACCTCCTTCCACAGCAGTAGAATTAATGGGGCCATTAATTCATGGCTTTATTCTCACTGCCATGGGTTTATTTGCAAAGAATTAATGTACCTTCTTCCTCCATCCACGACCCCTATGTGGTCAAAGAAGAGATCAGACATTTGGCAGCCAAAGCTCTGGGTTCTCCTTGCCTTTGAGGAGGTCTCTACAGCAGTCCTTAATATAAGGAACCAGCAGGAACTCCCAGCAGAAATGTCCATCTTCAAATGGACCCCAGAGCCTTAGACAAGGATTAGTGGTCACTACAGAGAAAGAGTCAGACACTCTTCTCCTACCCCATCTTTCCTGCAGAGAGCTGCAAAGAAGGGAATGGCATTAAACTTCTCACCAATCCCAGTAAATCTGGATACAATTTGATTTTGAAAGATGAAGAAAACTGACTTTGCATTCTGAGTGTCAATGTGTAGTGTCTTGAAGGTCTTACCACTCTGACCCCTCAATGATCCCAACGTGAACATGCGCTCCTTTTTGTGTCTCCAAGTTTTTCCCATTCTGTTTGTAACTTTAGAATGCCCTCCCAATTCTTTCATCCACTGGGGGAAAAAAAATCACTCCTCAAGACCTTGGTCACATGGGGGCACACACTGTGGGATCTTTGCTCAGTTCTCAGGGCAGAGCCAATCTCTCCCTCCTTTGGACCCCAAAGCTCTGGCTATCACAACTCACCAGGTCATCCCCACTCACTGACTGCGTGTTGCTACAGGGCAGAGACAGTGTCTCATTTGTTTCTCATTTCTAGTGCCTAACACAAAGCCAGCTAGTAAGTGCTACTTTGTAAGTGCTTGAATAAATAAATAAGGGATTGTGCTCAATCAATCAATATATAAGTGGTTGATGCATGGTGAGTATGAGCTGAATCTGACATATCTGGTCAGAGCTGATATATGTGGCTTCTGAAGGACAGCAATTGAGATCTTTTGTGGACAAGAGTGGTCACTTGACAAGTACTGTCCATTTGACAGCTTGGTGGATAAATTTCACATGTATAACATGTGCCTGTCAACAATAAGAAGACTAGGTCAAAGAAAGAGCATAACTTGGGTTTAACTTAATCTCTCTGTGATAGTTAGGAAGAAGATGCCTTCTCTTCTACCAATCCATGTCATACCAGTGGCTCCCTACAGGGTATGGGCAGTTGGAGTTGGAAGGAAATTTACTGATTTATCGCTTACCTAAGGTTGTCTTACATTGAGGGCCAATAGAAAGGAAACAAACATTTTTACTGTGTGCCAGGCACTAGACCTGTGCATACAGGGAGGACGTGAACTGTAGTGTTAATAAACAAAGGGTTTGTAACCCCAATGCTCTGGGTTCAAATCCTGGTTCTGCTTCATTTTATGTGTGTGACCTTGAACAAGTCACTTCTCATTTGTGTTTTCATTTTTTTTTCATTTCCATAGGAATAATAATAATTTCCATCTCAAAGATTTCATGCTTAGTGCCTGGTTCATTATAGGCACTTGGTCAATCTTAGCTATTACTAAACAAATTATATAGTGGAATCCTCAGAATAAGTGAAGAAACAGACTGAAGAATGTCCTTTGTCTAAGATCACACAGCTGCTATTTCAGACAAAAGGACCGGTCTGATCCCCAGAGCAGCTCAAGGCAGAGCCAATGTTCCCCCATGGTGTCCAGGCTGTGGTGCTTCCTTCTCAGGGCCCACATCTGCGGAAGGCTGTGCTGGCTTCTAGCTTGCTTTGCTCAGATTGTCAGCCAGTGAATACTGTGATCGACGGCACAGGGAGTGAAGGTAGTCTACTCGCAACCGGAAGAGAATCTATTACTCAACATGTTTCAACAGTACAACACAGAACATGATTTGTACCAAAGCTCTCTTATCAGGAGACCTGTTTCTCGGAGGCCCTGTTTCTCACCATTTCACCTTAGAGTGGGCAAGAGGGAGCATATGCAGGTATGCCCGTCAGAGTGGCGGTGGTGGTAGCTTCCATCATGCTCTGAGACATGGGAGAAGGAGTGAGCGAGCTCACTGTCTAGCTCGCTCTTGAATTCACTTCCCTCTTCCCATCCTTGAGGCCACTTTCCTTGTCCAAGTCATGGTCATCTTTTATGGACTCTGCAACTATCTCCAACAATCTGAGGCCTTTGCTCTAGCTTCTTCCAATCTCCTCTGCAACAAGGCAGTCAGAGCGATCTTTTGAAGGTGTGAATTGCACCATGTCCCTCCCCAGCACCGTGCCTCCCAACACACACCTGGATCTGGGCTTGGCCTCATCCATGCTTCCTGCCTTATGCTTAAGTTCCCTAATGTATTTGGTGCTGCAGCCATGATGAATTTTTTTTCTTCCCCCAACATTCACTTTTTCTTTAACTGCAATGATACACCCCACTCTACTCTGCTTCCTCAATTCATTGTTTGAGTACCAGCTCATGGTCATTTCCCAGTGTGCCCTTGAACCAGGTCAGCCTGTCATGCTCTGAGGTCCCTGCTTCATCTTTTCCTGACCTAGCACAATTGTAACTGTTTGTTTAATCATCTTTCCTCTTTCAAAATGTCATCTAAGCTCTTCATCACATTCTCCTTTAGACAAGTACTAAATGATGCCCAGGAAAGATTGTGGGTTTCCAGGGGCTTGGGGCATCTGGCCAGGCAGGAATATTGTGTTTAACAGCACAGTTTGGGGGTCAGTGGAAGCTGGATTCAAATTTTTACTTGCCCTCCCAAGCTTCTACTCCACCCAGTGGAAGAGGGTGATGCGTTGTGGGCAGGAGTTTAACCCTGTGGCTGCCTCAATGTGCATATGTGGATGGAGTCCAGGAAGTAAATACATTATGTTTTTATAGGGCATCTCAGCCAGTTCTGGACCCACTGTGTGCCCACAGGTGATTTTAACTCTAGTATAAGAAACTTGCATGATAGGGGTACTGCATAGGCCCCCGCTGGAGTTCCTGCAACAATGAAGCCCTATCTGTGCCTGTGATTATTTTATAACAATTACTACAATTGATGCTATTTGGCTTCTGCTGTAGACTCACTTTTGAGGGCAAATAGTTGGCAGAGGACAGGCTGCCTTCCCTCAAAACATGAGGATACACATGCTCCCTCCTCAGAGATACACATGCTCCCTCCTCAGAGATTCAGTGCCTGTTAACAGTGGATGCCTGCAGTCTCCTCCATTCTGTAGCCTTTTTTATAGAACTCAGGTATGGACAGAGGGAAGCATTTGCCTTGGATATAGCAGATGAGTTCATGGTGGCATCTGGGCTTTGGAGCAGATGTGGGCATGTCATGGTACCCATCATTTCTGGACCCTGCCAATCACACTGAAGTAAAAAAGAAAAGGCTGATTCCTGGGTGATGAGTAGCTCCATTGACCAGGCTTGACCCCAAAGAGAATCCCCAAAGTCTTATTGATAGCTGATCTCAGACTCTGTCTAGAATGATAGACAAGGGATAGGAAAGAAAATCCTGGACATCTGAATGGTGTGGAAGATGAATCTATGAAGCTTCCATAGAAGCTTGGGAGGGGTAGGGGACAAGGAAGCGGGGAAAAGGGAGCTGGCCTTGGTGCATGAAATGGCCAATTTATAAAGGACACAATATGGCCAGACCCAAGCCAGATGGAGGCTATGGATTGATAGATAGGAAAGATTGTGTCAAAGAAGCAGTGTCACTGGATAGAGTGGAGGTATGGCTAGAAGGGCTATGAGTTCCAGTGGGTAGGAACGTCAAGAGGAGAGAGGGCAGGGGATGTGGATGCCAAATGAATGGCTGAGAAATGAAAATCAAGAAATCTCAGGGAATGACAGACAAGATGTAGATCATAAGAAGAAGGCATGCAGTAAGTCCTATAGGCAGTAGGGGCACCAGGTGGCTATCGGCCCAAGGTCGGATTCTGTCATTTCTGGGAGGGCACAGAGCAATGTGCTTCTCGACCACACCAAGTTCTTTCCTGTCTCTGTGCTTTTGCACCTGCTAGTCCAGCCCATCTTCCTGGAATAATTGCACCCACTTGTTACCTCACTCAAATACTGATGTTTTTGTCCACCCAGGCTATGTTAACCTTTAAATACCTTTAGTGCACCATCCTTTTTCTTCAGAATACTTTCTGTATTTATCCTTTAAATATCTATCTCAACAAACCAAACTGTAAGCACCATGAAAACAGGAATTATGGCTGTCTGTTTATCACAGTCTATATCAGCCCTGGCACTTAGAATATATTCAATAACTATTATTTGAATGTGTGAATTTAAGAATCCTGGGCTTTTAATGCCAATAGATACATGGTTTTTAACTATCTCAGTGGGATGCCCTCATAAAGGCCATAAACATAAAATGTGGCCAGATTTTACTGAACACAATGGCTTCCTTTAGGCATGCATGGTTCTTTAGCAAAGCTCTGACATTTAAGTGCGTACTGCTGCAACCAAAGAGAGTTACTTTGGCAGCAGAGCTTAAATTAATGTCATAAAACCCAGGAAATCATCAAATGAGCATGGCCCACAGCAGACAGTTTTGTCTTAGGGAACCAGAAAATCACTGTAGAGAAATGCTTGGATATACCTACAGAAGTGCTACTGGGCGGATCCCCTAGATGTGACCCAGGCCTAAAGCAAACTGCAAATGCTAGTACCAGGCACAGCCAAATCCTCCTTACCAGAAGTTCTGAAATAGTTTGTAGTACCCTTATAGAACTGCAAGAAAACATGTGGATCTTGGGAACTGGTGGAGAGGGTTTGACTTTTGGCTCTGTCACATATTAGCTTTTGACTTGGACTTGTCTATTGGTAATAATGATTCCCTGTGAGGTTTAAAGGAGGCTCAGTATGAAAAGTTCCCAGCAGCAAAGAAAGGCCAT